GTAGGAGAATGCAAAGAAGTAATAAAGAGGATATTAAATCAATTTTCACAATGAATAGGGCACTTGTCAGATTGTTCACAAATTTTGTTAGTATATTCCTGCGCAATCGAGCTGTGAAATCCTTGAAAGCACATCAGCCATCTTGACGATAATTAAGGGCGGATTTACAATGTGGCACATTCAGTGGCCAGCAGATCTAGCGCATTTGCCATGCACTAGATCTGCTGGGCCACTGAATGTGCCAAAATGGAATGATGCACGGCGCATCCCTAACCTCATTGGTCAGCATGGAGTTATGACTTTACTAGCTTCTGATGGGAATCTTTTATCTCTGATCATTAGCTTTTTACAGGTCCTTTTGCCCATCATAACATCTTCAGAGCAGCATTACTCCAATGAGACCCTTAGTCGTCAACCCGCTCGTACTGACGCTGATTGGAATAGTGTTTGCCCGTGAGTCTTTTTTTACCAGGTTTTCTCGTCAGTGTTTCTTTGAACTCAAATATTACATTTAGATTTACCGCCGCAGCCTCCTCTCCAGTTGCCTTTTCCGTTTAATCTTCAGGCGTCCATTCCAGTCGTTGATTCTGCTCCTCTCCAAGCCCCTTTTCCAATGCCCCTTCTTCCACCTTCTCCAGTGCCCATTGCTCCACAGGTGCCAATTCTGCCTCTTCCGCCTCTTCCACCGGTGTCTCTCGCACCTCCTTTTCCAATACCCCTCCCTCCTTTACCTGTACCTCCATTCCAACCAACTCCCTCACCGTCTTTGCCGCCAATCTGCACAATGCCACTTGTACAAGGACCGTGCGAGGAGCGTCATATCAAGTAAGTGAGCGCAAATTATCCTCATACGTAAGGTTTATGTGCCTTTCATCTGCAGTAAATTTTTTCTTAAGAATTCAAAAAAAATACATTTATTACAGAAGAATCTGATTTTGTAATAGATGTCCTAATAAAGTCGAGACCTGCACCTCTTATGTACGATACGGTTATTCGGTTTCAGATCCGTAAATGCAGCTCTTTTATCTACAGTGGTTGCCAGGGCAATGCCAACAACTTCGCAACACTTGAGGAATGTTTGAAGATATGCTCTTAAAAACAATTATTCGATAATGTGCAACCTGTACTCGATAAACGTTTTATGTGTATTCAAACTGCTTGTTTCAGAGTGTTCCGCAATAGTTTGAAAGGCAGGGATTACGGAAAATATCAGAAGGGCTTATTGTGACTTGTTGGTGCTCAATGGTACGCCAGTGGCCAAAAAAGAAATGAAAAATCCGTCCAGAAAAATGCAAAACGAGACCCCCTTTTCGGCCGTTGCTTTCCATTCATCAACAGATAACAGCTCAGAAAAAGTGGAGTTATGAACGAGTTCACCGCAACGCGTTTGATGGCACCATGCCAAACACGCTTCAATCGAGATGCTCCATTTGCGCCGCTGCTGGCCACGCAGCTCGTCCAAATCACAAGTAAACTAGTGGGCGGATCGCTTTTGGGGGCGGAGTGCTTTCGAAGTCCTGCTCAGCAACCAGCGCACCTTTCGTCGTGAAAGCGCCACACCTCGCTTCCTTGGCAGCCAAGTAACTGCTTCGTGTGGTGCATATGCTTCCCCGATGCGCTCCCTCTTTATCGTAATCGCTTCCTTTAATCTCTAATCTATACGCATCGTACGCGTAATCCACTCAAAGGTGCGAGTTTCTAGGAATATCGCTGTCGAGGATGCATGCGCGGAATGTCTGGTTTATAAGGGACGGCGGTCGCTATTGTAACTACGAAGGAAGGTCGGCTCGTCTCGTTCCCCAGCATCCTCAACCAAGGCTTTCTGATTTGATCTGATTTTCCTCCCACTCGAATGCAGGTCAAAATGTTGGTTAGCGCCGGTAGCGAATGCTATGGAAAGGGTCCCAACAAGAGCCCTGTTGAGTTTTAGAGAAGAGGAAACCAGACTTTTTTTCGCACTCTCATGGACAGCCTGTTCTAAAGACGACCCAAAAAATGCTTGCAAATGCTTCTGCTTAGCGAGGAGTCAACTTCCTGGCGTCTTATTAATGATTTTGTGACCTTTGTGAAATGCTCTATCAAGAGGAATACCTATTATAGGTACAAAATTCTGATAGAAGTCAGAGGGTACCCCGCAGGAGGCCCGTCGCGCGACAAGAAAGGCGAGTCAGCGGACGAGTTCCGCGCGTACTGTAGGGATTTCGCGTCAAGTTAAATAGAATGTCCATTGTACGTCCTACATCGCTCACGCGCTGCGACTCGTCCGCGACTCTGCCTTCTTGCCGCGCGACGGGCCTCCTGGGGGGTACCCGAAGTCAGAAGGAGTGTTAGTAGTGAATTGCATGTTCGATCTTCTTGAAACCTGGGCACTTTGAATGCTGTGGACTTCTTCTAGGGCGTAGAGGTTTGCTATGGTGAAACTCTTTATTTGTCAGTGTTCCTTTAGGGCCTGCCGATCCACCAATCGCTAGCCTACTTGCCTTTAGGCAGCAACTGCGAACGAAAAAAGTCTGAATAAGACGTGTTTCTAAATTACGGGGTTCTATCCCAACTCTTCTTTCAAGGTATATTTGTGTAGTAAGAACACAAGAAAAACAAAACTACCGAAAGCAATAAATGTGACGTGAGGTCGAGGGAAAATACACTATCAACCTCAATCATCGCATATCACTACCTCCTCCCTCACTGAAGAGAAGGTCTGCGGTATGGTTCAGTTTGCTACATTATCCTAAGAAGAACGGCTGACTGGATGTTCAATAATGCCTCTATTCACAGTTTCTGTTACAGTAAGTCTTGTGTAGACTTTCTCGAAGAAGCTTCCACTAAACCGTCACTTTTAGGGACTACTACTATACGTATTGTCTACTTGTATTATACTAGCATACAACTGTTTTAAGAAAAAACGAAGTGCTGCGGGTGCATCGGCCAAAGTGAAGAAAAGAAGACGATTCTTATTTGGCCGAAAACGGAAATCGAGCAGCACCCCATCATTATACTCGCAGGTGAGCACTACACGCTATGAGGAGCAACAATTCAGAACTGTGTACCAAGGTGTGCCTGAACTCATTACGGGCACCTCAGCTATTGGCATCACAACCGCATTTGATACGGCGGTGCTCATGTCGTCAGGAGGGGGAAGGGTAGTTGGAGTGAGTAAGCCACTCAATGGACTTGGGACTTAGCCTTAGGAAAGGAAAGAGGTTCAGAAGGGGAACGTAAGCAACCTCTCCTCTCCCTCCCATAGTGTCACCTACCCGCGGTTTTTAGATGCCTCTTCCGAATGTCCCCCTTGGGGAGAAGAGCCTCTATGACTACATACCCTTGTCCCACATAAAATCATTTATGAACTACAAGTACCAATTTAGCTCACAAGAATTCAAGAAATCTTGTCTGCTTTCTCTCCATTCTCAACACACTTTCAGCACTGCTGATATATATGCTCAGAATTGGCGATTGTACATGCAATTAGGCTATTAGGCGATTTACTGATGATTCATAAAAAAGTTTTCGTATCGATCAGGCGATTAGGCGAGTATGCAATCAGGCGAAAAGGAGCAGGTAACAAGAAAGGGATGCGT